CGCCCTAGCCTCCAAGAATTTATGTCAGGTTCACTCCCTGTACTTATTAACTGACTACGACAAATTATACAATTTTTAACATTTTTTAAATTTTTTCTAGCCAAAAAACCAGCAATATATGCATGAGTGTTCAGAACTAATACATCATTCTGTTTTTGGAATTTAAAATTTGGATCTGCAGGTTCATCTGCAACAGTGACCATTTCTGCATCCACATCATCAACAATTAAAAATTGTTTTAACGAATCCAAAGCCCCTTCTGATTCATCTCGCTCACAATTTGAGCCTGGAGATGAGACAAAGTTATTAATTAATAAACTCTTAAATGAGGCGACCAATAGAGCTGCATGTTGGGTTAATATTTCGAACACCATGACTTCGAATGCACCCAAAGAAATTGTCCAACGGGTCCTGGTTCAGATTTCTGGTGCAAAGAAAACTGAAACCAGTTTGTTTCAGTTTTTGCCAGAGATAAATAAATCCACGCAACGTCTTTGTCCAATTTTTTACAGTAGGTGGTATATATTCCTGTCTCTTTTGTGAAAAAAAGTTCACAGTACAAATCAGTTTTGTTGCTTCGTACCAAAAATTGATGTGAGGTGAATCTTCAATAACAGCACATCTTAATAACTTGTCCTGCACTAATTGTCGAAGCATTGACACTGTCGAATACCTTGTCAACAAATAAGAGGAAGTCTGCAGTATCTGCTGCACTATCAGGAAGTTGACCGTTACCTAAATCAAGAAAAATTAAACAATAGAAAAATGTTATTCGATTAAAATATAAATATGCACATACCAAGTCTTACTATACCACGCATTATTGACGAAACTCTTTGAGAAAAAACTTGCGCTGCATTTTTTATTTCATTTTTCTCATTTGAGTTTGATAAATATGTTCGTTTGTAAGTCGATTTAACATTTTTGTGTCGTTATCTCCAACATCGAGCTCGTACAATGGAACAACATCTTCCCAAGAGGCTATCGGAAAAATAAATTATTAAATGAATTGTTATGCATATCTTAAAAATTATTAACTTGGTGGAGATTTATGTATTATGTTACCTATTGTACGACTTACCTGCTCTGTATTTTGTTTCCAAACAAATTTTACATTTCCTTGTAACATATTATTTCGTAAACCTTTTAAACACCGCGTATATGTTTCTAGGGCCATTTCGGAATAAATATTTACTTGAGCTTGTTTTTCCTCAGTGGGCCGATTTTGTTCATTGATTTTTGCAACTAAATTACTTAAAATACTCATGACTTCTTGGCTTAAAAGCTTTGGTGATAATTTACTATCTGGTTGAATGTACATTAATTTATTTTGTAATGAAGAGATAGTAAGGCCATCTCCAAATAATTCTAATAATAGTTGTTTCAACGCGTTCCAATTATCTAATTCTAATCGGCAAGATATGGACAAATCTGCTTGTCCTATTAATCTAGCTTTTACTGATGAAAAAAGAAATGATTTAAAAGTTTGGTTTTCTGATGGAAAAGCTAAAAAGAGGTCGTCAGCGGTACGAATAAATTTTTGTAGGAGCTGGGGATTTTCTCCATTAAATTTAGAAATATTTTCAATGTACATACGCATAAGAGAGTAATCTACAGGTTGATTCATTTCTAATTTGTTTTCCGGTAGAGGATTAACAAATAAAGCATGTGTAACTATATCTTCTGTTTGAGAGGTACTGGGTAAAACGATTGGTTCATCCAATTCTTGGTTAAAACGACTTGGTCGAATTAACGGAACTTTCCGCATTAAAACCATTTAATTATTGACTTATAACGAGTTTAGGCAATTCCTCGTTTATGCTATAGAGAAATTTCAATTGTCTTTCACTAGTATTTTTGAAAGGGTTAAATTATTTATTCTTTTTCTCAATTTCTTTATTGATTATGGCAATTGTTTTTGCCTCTATGACTACTTTCATTGATTTAACGTTAATTTAACAGTTTAAGAAACAACCACTTATTTATTTATTTACTTTGTTAAAAAAAAGGAAAATTCCTATTCAAGATAATTTTTTATCTTGTAGTCTCAACGTTGTTTCACATAGCTCTGTTAGGCATCAATATGCCCACTCCTAACAGAATAATGCTGAGTTCGTTACTAGTGTGTTGACTATGGTGGCAAAAGTCTTAATTCTAATTGCTTAAAATTAATGGAAAATAGATTCACTTCTGTTAGCACAAAAAAATGTAATTATAGGACTTAGGAAAGAACTTGGAGTAGACAACAGGTTTCCTGATGTTGAGTCGTCCTATGTAGCGTTCCTTCGTGTGGTTCTTTTCCGGAAGTTGTGGCTCTAGGAACTTGAAGAACTGCGCCAGTTATTGGTTTGTTTTCTACAGGGAAGTTGCGGCTAGTTGACCAACCCCTAGCTGTTCTAGTCCAATGAATTTCAGCAACACTTTACCGTAGATAACTTAAATTATAACATGTTTTTGAAGAAACACTTTTATTGCTTAATTACACTAAACATCATGAAGATTTAATCTATAGTCGTCCTCCTGAGCGGCTGGTTGAGTTTTTATATGATGTATTATCTGCTAACAACTCAGCAGGCAATTTTCTATTGTCAGCATAATAATAAAATACATTTATAAGTTAATAGTTATAAAATAATATATAGATAGTGCGAAAATATATATACAGGATGTTTGAATAACATCAGTATCATTACTGCACTGAAGAACATTTATTTCTGAATTGACGATATTGTCACCAAACCTTTATTAGTTTTCCTTTCATATATAATGAACAAAATGTGATCGAAGACTGCCCACATTATTAAAATAGTTCTGGTTTTTACTATGTTAGGAAAAGGACATTTAACTTTAGTCTTGCTCTTTACATGAACATACAAATGTACTTTGCGTTTTGTGATTGCAAACATTGCATGTGATAGTTGCAGATTCGTTTTGTACAACAGTTTTAAGCGAATTGTGAAATCTATTTGTGTTGTTTAAATTTCGAATATGACTTAAATATTAAATTGCAATATTTATAAAGACAATGGAAAGATACCCCGGACCAGTTCCTGTGTAAATACATATGTATATCATATTTACGGATAGTACAACATCTAAATAGACATNAACCTTTATTAGTTTTGTTTTCATATGTAACAAATTTATGTTTTCTTTACAAAATGTGATCGAAGACTGCCCACATTGTTTAAATAGTTCTGGTTTTTACTATGTTAGGAAAAGGACACTTAACTTTAGTCTTGCTCTTTACATGAACATACAAATCTACTTTGCGATTTGTGATTGCAAACATTGCATATGATAGTTGTAGATTCGTTTTGTACAACAGTTTTAGACGAATTGTGAAATCTATTTGTGTTGTTTAAATCTCGAATATGACTTAAATATTAAATTGCAATATTTATAAAGATAGTGGAAAGATACCCCGGGCCAGTTCATGTGTAAATACATATGTATATCATATTTACGGGTAGTACAAGATCTAAATAGACATAATCTGCATTGAAACATCTTACAGTCTGTATTTTAGGTTATATAAATAAAATATATACTTACTGCACACGAATAAAATATAAACACTATTTATTAATATTAACTTCTTCTAGCATGGACATTAATCCTATAATTGCCAAAAAACCAGCAAAATGTAGATAATTGAACAACACAGTAACTTACGTATTGCGTGCGTATAACCGTTTATGCCGAAATCTAAAATACACAGGTGCGCACTGTGCAGGCGTTTTAAAAATGTTTGGTATAATTCCATAATTTATTATAGAAAATTACTTGTCACTAAAAAATGTTACATGATATGCTCTGTAAATTTAAAATTACATTTGAGATTTAATTTTACGGAACTTGTATGGTATTGTTACATTCTCTGTAGATAAACATGGTTGATTTAGGAAGAAAACTAATTACAAAAAATTACTCCCATTTTTTTTCAGTGTGATCAGCAAGTCACTTACCCATTTTATCCCTTCAGCACTGCTTGTAGCACCACTTTTCCAATTACCACGCACAGGTTGATTTAAGACAACTTATTCAGTCACCCTATTTATTTATAAATTTATTTTGCCAGTAAAAGTGGAAATAAGGGACGTTGACCACACTGCCGATCGCAAAACGCAGAATTTATAAAGTATGGAATATGGAAGTTGAAAGATAAAGTACAGACGATATAGGTATGTTCATTTATACTGATTGAAAACAGCGTCAAACCATGATATGGCTTCAAGCAATTAAATAAAAATAGTGCTATGACAAATAATGTGAGTGTGAGAGATAACATATTTCAAAGTTGCTTTGATCAACACAAATGAACATACCTTATGTGTACTGTAGAATCCGATTCTCTGCTCTAGTTGTAATATTCTCAAGCGATATACGTATAATTTTACAGTGCACAGAATCCACAGCTAGACTATAATCTAGTTCCACTCATAACCTCTAGAGGGCAGAGAAGTCACGCATGTTTTCAATACAAATACAAATTGCTTATAGAGTTGTCTATAAAGAAGGTTCTTAGAATGTAGAAGTCGGTTTACTAAGGAGCAGGAGCATTCTTGTTCAAGACAAGCCTACGCCGATTCAAATTGTCCATTTTTTATCCTATTTTTAGTAAGGCGAGACAATTATCCGGAACTCTCACAATTATCAGCCAATCGGCAACGTTGCCTGGCTGGATGGCATCCACGCAGCGGTCCCCCACTCCCGCATGCGCCTTGAGCGCACAAGGCTGTTATATAGGGTGGCGCAAACACCGTTTATCTTCCACTGTTAGGATTTCTTCCACATTTTCTAATTCTTCCTCCACATCTCTCCCTTCTGTATTTTCTATTTCAGCATTATTTTCAATAACTAAGTGAATCACCCTCAAATTTATTGTACCGGGTGGCCCAAAATTACCGAAGGGGTTTGAGTTCATTATAACTTTTTATTTAAGACTTAATTATAAATTTTTTTTTTAAATACAGTATATTAATGGAGAATATTTTTAATTTAATTATGAAAAATTATATCTCGCAAGTGGTGGCCATTTTCTGCTTCGCATATTCGTGCTCTTTCCAAAACATTTTCCATAACCTTTCGCAAAACTTCAGGTGTTATGTTGTTGATTTCGTCACGTATATTGTTTTTTAATTGCTGGATGGTTCTAGGCTTATTAATATAGACTTTTCCTTTCAAATAACCCCAAAGGAAAAAATCTGGAGCGGTTAAATCCGGTGAACGCGGAGGCCAATTAAAATCGCTGGTACGCGAAATAATTCGTTCACCAAAGGTGTCGCGTAAAAGAGCCATTGTGTCCCTCGCAGTGTGCGCTGTGGCTCCATCCTGTTGGAACCATACTTGCGGATGGTTTTCCACGGCTGGCCTTAAAAAATTTTCTAACATTGTCCGATATCGAACACCAGTGATGGAAACGGCGACACCGTGTTCATTTTCAAAAAAATATGGGCCAATTATCCTTTCCGACGAAATACCGCACCAAACAGTACACTTAAGTGGGTGTAATTGTCGCTGTTGAACTACTCTTGGATTTTCCGTAGCCCATATCCTGCAATTTTGCCTATTAACGAACCCATTTAATTGGAAATGGGCTTCGTCGCTCATAATTAAATTATGAATAAAATCATGATTTTCTTCTGCTTTTTGCCGGAAATAAATTGCATAATCAAGTCGTTGCTGGTAATCTGTCGGTTTTAATTCTTGGACAAGCTGAATTTTGTATGGAAACATTCTTATTGTATGCAAAATTCTCTGCAGCGACCCTCGTGAGAGGCCAAGTTGTGTCGAACGTCTCCTGGTTGATGTTTCTCCATCTTCCCGAATACTCTCCTGTACCCGTTCAATATTGTCATCCGTGTGCACCGTTCGTCGTCTGCCGGCACCAGGAAGGTTCCTTACTGCCCCTTGTTGTCGAAAATTTGCAACCAGACGGTTTATTGTTGACTCTGAGGGTCCAACACGCACATTAAAATAACGACGATATGCACGCTGAGTCAAAACAATGGACCGTTGATTTGAGAAATAAAGTTCAACGATTTGAGCACGTTGTTCAATTGTGTACTGTTCCATTTTAAATTCCCCAAGTCTTCTTTACAAAATACTGAAAAGAAATAAAAAAATATTATAATAATAAAAAAAGTTATAAGGAATTCAAACCCCTTCGGTAATTTTGGGCCACCCTGTATAATCCATATACACTTTATTTATTTATTATTGATATAGTTAGGTCATAAGTAGGATCATTACAAGTGTTTACTCCAGAGCCTCCACCTGTTGCATACAAACTTATGCGTTCTTCTGCAGCTTTATTTTTGTTTTCATAAAACTTCCTTAAATGATCCATCGTTCTTCTATGAATTGAAGGACAATTTGCATGAAATTCATTTGAAAGTCTTATCCATGCGTCATCTTTCTCTCGCCAGCTAACCGCGTCAGCTTTTTTACATTCCAAGATGTGTGAATACTTTTTTACTATATTCAACAAGATAATCTTCTCCTCTCCGGTAAAATTAAAATTATAATTAAACTGAATAAATGCACACTTCTAAATCAAGGATTTATAAATAATTGTTCAGTAGGGACAATGAGCGTCAAGATGCGCAAACTTGTCTATAACGGAGGTCGCCATTCTTTACAAAAACTAGGACTGTTCGGTAAGCAAAAACCACCTGTTGACGGCAGTTGATTTCACGAGCTACGAATCGTTAGCGAAGACAGTTAGACTCACCTTGGGTCCCTTTAAGCGGTACCTCTCGTCCGGGCCCGGATTCTTGTTTTCCCCCACTCCAATGATCACCCCTTTTTCTTTCTTTCTTTCCACTAGTTGCAGCAGCCTCTTTTCCTTTTTGTTAAAAATCGTGTCGAGAGTTTCTCGCTGTTTTGCGTTTGGTTCGGTTGACAGCCCGCTTGCTACTACTCTCTCTCGATTGTTCGAGAAAATTTGGAGGGGATGATTCTGAGTCTCCCCACCTTTGGCTAATTGCGCGAAATTCAAATAAACTAAATAACTCTTACCCGAACAAGGACTTTTTCCGTAGTTCTCTACTAACTTGTTGCTTTCTTCTTCAGAATGAAATCTCCCCATGCCATATACAGCCCCGTCTTCTGAATAAACTGCAGATTTTGCAATTGTTGCAACAGATGCTGCACACCGCTCTTAAATCAGTGATTTCAACTTCTTGTACGTAACACATCCACACGTTTGAACTATTTGACTCTATTTACTTAGTACCGAGTCAGTTCTTATAGGCACTCTTCTACCGATAGACCAGAGCTAACCAGTTACAAGACCAGTTTAACCGGTCTGGTTCGGAAACCTGATAAGTCTATTATCATTTTACAAGACCAGATAAACCGGTTAAGTTAAGGCTTTAGATACAAGGGAGACTGTATTACATTACCAGATCAGTGAATTAATTCTCTTTTTCGAAAATGTTACATCGGTTAATTTATTCTGCAAAATTTGGAATACAACATCGGTTTGTTCAAAAATCATTGTTAAGGTTTTCAAGAAAAAAATGAAATTTTTGTCTCAACAATTGTTTTAATCCATAAGCGGATCCTAAAGTTTGTTGATCATTTAAAAAATCCTCACTATCCGAGATGAAATCAAAAACCTCAATAAATTTCTTTCTCTAAGTTTTGATCGTAAATATAGCTCTAGAAAAAAAAATCCAACTAGTGGGAGCATTACTTGGAATCCTATGTTGCATTATTTTATTTAATACGACAGATCTTTTAGTAGATTTGGAAAAAAAATAGGAAAATTCGGAGATTTGAAAAGAAATTTTCACTTCTTTAATGCCGTTGCAAGCTTTACTTAAAACTAAATTTAATTTATCATCATAGGCAATTAAGCAATTAATTTATTTTTGAAGTCAAATTTTCCAAATTCATCAATTAATAATTTAAACGAACTATCTGCATCTCTCCCACTTGTTACGTCAAAAAATCCAACAAATATTTCAACAACTTCTCCGTGCACTACGTATCTAAAAAGTACCGATATTTGAGACTTACAGGTAACATCTGTGGTTTCATCAAGTTGCCAGGAGAAATTATTTAATTCTTCATAAATTTTACTTTTGGTAATTGAACTAATACTCTCAATTAAATCGTATTATGTTGGAAACATCCGGAAGTATCGTATTTAACGTTTCCACATTTACCTTTAGGTTTCTTCACAGATTTTACGCTCAGACAAAATGTATCCGTAGCAAAACCTGACGAGTTGGATTGGTTATACGCTCGAGATTATGTCCCGTATATGCTCAATTTTTACTTTCAACACGGTCTAAAACTTATCCATCCGTCCCCTCCTTCGAAATTCTTGCTACGAAAAATGAACAAAATATGCGATGTCCATAATTATCAGAATTTTCTTTTTGATGACTTATTATCGTATAAACTAGTACTCACGTTTGATTTAAGAGAACTTTTTTACTCTTTCATCTTTTGTTTGCTTCTTATTTTTCTTTTTTTTTTTTAGGTAAATCCATCATTCTTTGGAGACGTTTCAATTTCATCACAGTTACTTTTTTTCTTTTTCTACATTTTCGTTTTCCATATATATAATCATCTCGGCGGGTAAATCTATAACAAAAAATAGTAAAGCCATGTCATCTTTCAGTGTTGTCCACAAGCTAACCTTCAATATTAATTACGTTAATATGCTTACCAACGTACTTACGAGCCTCACCCTGGTCGTCTTATTTTTATTAATCCTATAGCACTTTGGTGCTATAGGATTAATGGCTTATGGTGGTGTACGATAGAATTACCTGTGTACAGGGTGATTCTTTTATCAAAATGAGTTTTTCTCGTAAACGGCTGCAGCAAATTGAGTTCTGTAAAAAGTATTTTATTTGGGCTGATTGATGCTTGAAATTGCGAAGGATATGAAAGTTATAATTAATCGACGCTGGGCGTCGCGACGCTTCAAAAATTTTTTTGTCAGAAGCATACCATTTTTATGTCAGAAATTGGAAGATCTATTGAATAGAAACACTTTTTCCAAATACCATTTTTTTTCATCTAAAAACATTCAAAAATTACAGACCAGTTTTTATGTGTTAAATTGGTCGATTGCCATGCAAAGAATGCATGGTTTTTTAAATTTCACTAAAGCAGGCAGGCTAACTTTTATGCTGATATTGACCACAAATATAATTTAGGATTTAAAGAAAACAATTTACAAAATGTTACTACATTTAATAACACTAATTTAATTGTTTAAGAAATAATGAACGTTTACACTAACAACAACCAATACATAAAACACTAAAGAATAACATGAACTGTGTTTAGTAAAAATTAACTCTTAATTCACAAATCTTATTTTAACAATTGCTCGATATAGGCGCCATCGTTATCTAAACATAAATTGTACCGCTTTCTTATTTCGCAAGATGTAACTTTTCTTAAAACATCACCAGATATTCCATTGCACGCATCAATAATGTTTTGTTTTAAATTATCTAAATTATTAGATTTTGTTTTATACACTATATTTTTTAAAGTTCCCCATAAAAAGAAATCTAAGGGTGTCAAGTCCGGGGACCTAGGCGGAAATTTCAAGGGCCCGTGTGTCCCCAACCATCTTCCGTGGTAGAATTCATTCAAATAATTTTGAACAATGGCCGCATTGTGGCAAGGAGCTCCATCTAGTTGAAACCATAAGTTTCTTCTGATTTGCAGTGGCACATGTTCCAGCAAAAGAGGAAGGTGATTTTGGAGAAAATCTAAGTATCTTGCGCCCGTCAAGGCGCCTTCATAAAAGTATGGCCCTACTAAGTGCCGCCCGACTATTCCGCACCAGACATTTATGCCAAAGTGGCCCTGCCTTTGATGTTGCCTGATTTTATACGGGTTTTCGTCCGACCAATAATGGGTATTTTTTTTGTTTGGTAATCCATGACTAACAAAATGACTTTCGTCTGTCCATAATATATGAGAAAATAAATTAGGATTATCATCCAAAGACACCAAAAACTGACAAATAAAATCCTCCCTCCGCTCACAATCTCTTAGCGAAAGTTCTTGCAAATTATGAAATTTATAGTCATGGTATTTGTTGCTTTTTAAAACTCTTTGTATCACGCTATAATTTAAATTTAAGTCTCTTGAAGCCTCTCTTATAGAAGCTTCATGATGATTGTTAAAGTAATTTAAAATAATTGCCACATTTTCATCCGTCGTGACAGTTTTTGTTCTTAATCTTTTACCTGCAAATTTGGCTCATTGAATTTATGGAGATTTATAAAAAAACACAAAACCTACCTTCAAATGCTTTAGGGTTTTGACGCAAACTACTTTCTAACCTAGCAAAAATTTTGTGGTCTGGAAGGTTGCGTTCGGGGTATTTTTCCGCATATAATCTTCTTGCAGTTAAAGCATTTTTTTGGGCTTCTCCGTATAACAAAAGCATGTCAACTTTTTCTGAATGTGTAAACATATTTCTTATTACTTACTATTTTAATAGAAATAATTAAAATTACACTGACAATTTCAGACATCAATTAATATAAGCCAATTTTGTTTTTTCAAAGCCTACCTGCTTTAGTGAAATTTAAAAAACCATGCATTCTTTGCATGGCAATCGACCAATTTAACACATAAAAACTGGTCTGTAATTTTTGAATGGTTTTAGATGAAAAAAAATGGTATTTGGAAAAAGTGTTTCTATTCAATAGATCTTCCAATTTCTGAAATAAAAATGGTATGCTTCTGACAAAAAAAAATGTTGAAGCGTCGCTTAATTATAACTTTCATATCAATCGCAATTTCAAGCATCAATCAGCCCAAATAAAATACTTTTTACAGAACACAATTTGCTGCAGCCGTTTACGAGAAAAACTCATTTCCCATGATAAAAGAATCACCCTGTACAGTTATAATATGGCCTAAATGCCTTGCAAGCCAGTCATATTTAAATTTTGATATATTAAGTAACGGACATACTGTGGCTACATATTTCCTTAACATTGTGCCAGTAAATTTTCTAAATGTATTTCTTCACAAATTTTTTTAGGCAGTCAGACCTTTCAAAAATCGTTTCGACTTATTCGATTTTAT